TTGATACACGTAACACATGATGTTTAATTAGACTATTCGACCAATGTCTAATCGTAGATCATGGTTGAATTTTTAATTGAATATAGGCCGGCCTTTTTTGACTAGTGAAATTGGAAATCAGCTATGCCGAATGTCATCTGATATACAGACGATCATCAATTATTAGCCAAAATTTAGCTGAAATAAGGATGATTTGCCTTATTTCCGATTTGCCTTATTTCGACTAGTGATATAGTAATATTTTAAAATATTTTAAAAAGTTACAAAATATTACACTTAAAGTTGCTTGCCAAAACCTAAAGGTTTAGGCAAGATGGCATTTCGCCAAAAGTGAAATTTTGCTGAAACTATATTAAAGTTATATTAAAAAACTGGCAAAACTTTGGAGAAAGGCGAAACTGCTGAAACTTATTATAAATGCTGAAACTGCCAAAACTCTGCTGAAACTATAATAAATCTATAGTAAAATTTTGATGAAACTAATCATAGGATTTTGAAGAGGTTTAGACAAGCAACCTTAATTATGCTTACGCAAACTTGTGGTAGGTCTGAAAACTTACAAAATATTATGTAAAATTACGAAATATTGCAAATCGCAAAATTATGGAATATTACAAATCGTAAAATTACGAAGCTTTACCTATCGTAATATTTTGAAATATTTTAAAAAGTTACAAAATATTACGCTTATGCAAACCTGTGACGCAAATGTATTATTCTTGTACCATCAGGTGCTATTTTCTTCTACCACCTTACTGTAAAAATATATTATGCGGTGAAGATCAACATGCATATGGTAGAAGAAGATAATATTTGCACCTGTGGCGGGTCTGGAAGCTTATGAAATATTATGTTGTGTAAACTTGTGCAACTTTTCACACTATATAATTTCCTGATGAAGGCGTATAATGATGAATATGATAACTGTTAGACATTCTCATTAAGGATAGTATATGAGGACCCCGAACAATATATATATAGGTCAGATAAAAAATTCAAAATTTACTAAGGTCAATAAGCAAATATTTTTCATGTCTGCTAAGCAAACTTTTATCTAACCCATAAATTTTTTACACTGCTAAGCAATTTATTTTATAACATATATATATTTATATATAATTTTTTTTATAAAATATGTATATAAAAAAAACTAAAAAAACAAAAATTTTTGAAATAAAGTATGGATAAAGTTATTATTATTTTTTTGTAATATTACAACTTATAAATGTTTCTTATTACAGTTTACGACATAAATATTCAGAATTTTTATTTTTATGCATAAAGGAGTGCTGTCACACCAAGTCTTGTGCAACCAAAATAATAATTAAAATGGAAGTTGATCAGCCCTTTTTAAACATAAATATAGCGTGAAAAATTCTCACCTGATTGTTTATCAGCAGCAAAATAAAATCATGGCACCCACTTCGGTATTTGAAATGCAAAGGTTGACTGTTAAGGAGCTATGGAATAATAATATACGAAAACCCTCTGAAATAATTAAAATGACTGGTTTTCCAAAGTCTACAGTATATGACATTATCAATCGTCTAAAAAAAACAGGAAGTGTTGAACACTTACCCGTTCCTGGTCGTCCTCTTGTTCTGATACCAAAAAAACGTTGATATCTTGGCCGTCTTCTTAAAAATGATAATGCAACAACTTCAGCTTTAATGACAACAAAGCTGAATAATTTGTATCCAAATCTTAATGTATCAACCCGAACTGTACAATGTACTCTTAAAAATAAACTTAATTATATTGTTTGTAGACCATGGTCTGTTCCTCTTCTTAAAGAAAGTCATGTTGAAGCTCGTCTTCAATGGGCCTTAAATCACATCCAAGATGACTGGACTCACACAATTTTTTAGGATGAAAGTACATTTCAGACGTTTCGTAATACTCAAATTGTACGTTACAAGACTGAAAACCCACATCCAGTACATCCTATGGTAAAACATCCATATAAGGTTCATGTTTGGGGTGCATTTTGCCGCCAAGGGCCAATTGGAGTTGCATTATTTACAGAAAACATGAATTCTGCTAAATACTGTGAAATCCTTCAATCTCAACTACTTCCTAATGCTTATCATGCTGGTTATGGATGGAATTTTCAGCAGGACAATGCGCCAATGCATACCGCGAAGCTTACTCATCAATTTTTTGTGATTAATAATGTTCCGGTTATTGATTGGCCTGCAAACTCACCTGACTTGAACCCAATCGAAAATTTATGGGCGATTCTTAAAGGAAATGTAGAAAGAAGGGTTAATAATTGGGTTATGAAAAAAAAATCACTTGGTGCTAATGATTTTCAAGGCATAATTCAGCAAGAATGGGATAATATTGATAAAAATCTCTTCTTTAGTTTAGCAGATAGCATGTCAGATCGGATTAACATGATCATAGAAAATAATGGTTATACGATAAATTACTAACTTTTAAAGTATGTTTATCTGCACATCTTAAGCTATTAATGGTATAAATTTGAAATAAAAAAAATAAAATTTATTATGTTTTTACATATTGTGATAAAATTCTGGATATTTATGTCGTGAACTGTAATATTTCGTATATCTGTTCTGTGACTTCAGAGCGTAATTTAGGCACTTTAGTCAAAGGAAACATCTAAAACCTTCTTAAGTAAAGTTGTTCAGCAGGTTCGAATCTACTTACATATAAATTTTTATCACGATTGAATAGATATTTATGGATTTATTCATGTTTTTTGTAACGCCACCAATACGCGGAATTTTTATTTTTAAAATTTACTGTAAAATTTGTCAAAAAAAATATTTTTAAAAAATTTTCTAAGTAAAAATGAAATAACTTTTACTGATTATTACAAAAATTATAGTGTAAAATTATAAAAAAACAGAAAAACACTTATTTTTCTTGCTCTCATTTTTAATATATATTTTTTTACTGTTACACGGACGCGTATATGATTTATAATTTACGCGGACGCGTATTTGTTTTATCAAAAACATGATACACAATCACGTCTAAAAATGATTCCTGTAATACGTATACAATTAACTTATTCTTTGTATTAAAAATAGTAAATTGTTTTTACACAAACATGTTTATAACTTTGTTTACATATTTTATTAAATTTTTTTAATGTGAAAAATGTAAATATATATTATATTATATATATATATTAAAAAAATCTATCCTGCTACGCAAATATATATCTGACTATTAATAATTTAATACTCTGCTACGCATAATTATATCTGACTATTTAAAAATTATGGTATCAAATAAGCAATAATAAATCTCACATAGGAAAAATTTTTATATGTTGGTTAAGCAAACTCAAAACCTACCTTTATATATATTGTTCGGGGTCCTAGTATATGGATGGAAGTTTTTAGCTTTGAGCTCATTGTTGGAGCAAGTCTAAAGGTTTTTAATGAACACTGTGAGCACTTCAAAAAAATATGCTTAACTTCATTAATGCTTCATGCTCATGGTGAACATTTGTATTGAGAATAAGTTTATTAATCACTTTGGACCAGATCATGAAAATGTAACTACTGTACATATAGTCTATAATAAAAGTAAAGGATGTGCAGTGTTGGTATATAAGGATAGAAAAGTAAGTTTATCAATCTTGAGTACTCCATGGCAAGATGTGTTTTTTAAACATTCTGATTGATTCTATATGGAAATAATAATTTTTTGTTATGTTGTTAAAGGAAGCTAAAAATATATAGACCTCTTTATAACCCAGAATCAAAATTTATCTTGTATTAAAATACAATATTTTAGCAGTGGCCAAAATGCTTAATGTTTGTTTCTGATGTGTATGCATTGTGGTGTGTTTGCATATGAATTGGAAAATAAAATACATGTATCAGTATTTTTAAATTATTGCAGTTTGAAAGAAGCATTGACAAAGATTTACTTAAGTTTCGATTACCTGAAATGCACAGTATGGATATCAGAAAAAATTTTCGCATAAATGTCAAGTGTCAGCAAATATTTTTTTTCCTTTTGTCTCACATTCTGTCATCCGGTTGAAGGGATGCCAAAAGATATGATACTACCAATAAAACAATATTCAATCAAATATGGATATTTTTTTACGTGTATGGGATACGCTGTAATGCTGGGGATGTGTATGCTAATCTTTTGTCATTTTTATAGATTTGCAAGGGGAATTAACACAATGACAATTTATTTTGCTATAAAAAGAGACTGGATGAATTGTGTTGACCAAAGCTAACCCTATAAAAAATTTTTATCTGAATATTTCCATTATTTCTCCGTGTCTTCTGTAAATTCTGTGAAAATGATACATTCACGGAATCATGGATATCCATGTTAGCGAGATGAAAATTTCCATAATTTAAGGCTATAAATTCCATTAAAATGATACATTCATGGAAAAAATATGGAAAGATAAAACACGGATCAGATTTTTTACAGGGTAATTAATATACCCAATATGTCAGATTCAAAACAAACCAAGACATCAAGAAAAAAAGGCAAAACTCCAAAATCTGTCAACCATCTCTAGACAATATCATATGAAGCTATCTTGAAAAATCATGATGATATCGTAGGGGATGAAGAAATTCCAGAGCTAGACCGGGGCACGTTGCTATGCACCTGCGTATAAATTTTAAAATATTTTTTAAGTTTTATATTTAAAATATATTTAAATTTTATACTTAATTGTTAAATATACTGAAAATTAGGTCAAATGTTACACACGATGATCCAATTTACTATTTTTTTTTAAATTATAATAACTAGCAGTAGCCCGTTGCTTCGCATCGGGTATACAGGTATGTATTGTAATTATATTTGATCGTCATTTTTGATCACACGTTTATCAAATTTAAATTAATTTTGATGGAAAAAAAGGTTACAGTATGTGATATATATCAGTTATAACTTTAAGTGTAGAATGTATATTTAAAATTTAAATAATTTCTGGAAGTCTTGGCAAATAATATATAATTTGACACAATTAAAATTTTTAATTTATAATGTGGATGGTCTTTTTTAATTATTGCGAAGGTATAATTCCGGCCAGAATTATACAAATTTCCTTTTCCTGCATTAGAATGAATTTGCCGATCAAGTGGTCTTAACTATTAAGAATAGATCAGGCGCAACGCCATTAGTAATTAACATTGTATGATTTGTATAACGTAATAGATCAGGTGTAAAGGCGCAGATGAATAACGCATTGCACAATTCAAAGATTATTTCTACAGGCTAATCTAAACGTTAGTCACACAAACACAATTTTTTTAGATAATTAAATAGATTATATAGACAAACAATTTTTTTTTTAATTATATAGATTGGAAAGAGAAAATCAGCGCGAAATTTTCACGTACTCTCATGAATATTTTTAGAAACATGTACTTTTTTGTATGTTTCCGAAAATTTTCTAAAAAAAAAAATTTTTTTAGGAGAGTATCACAAAGTTTTTAAGTTTGGCTAACTATTAAAGTATGACAGTTATATATATTAATGCAATTGTGCATTAATTAAAAATTGAACAATATGCGTAAGTTTTACTTTATAGAATCAGTAGGTTATCAGAAGTTTTTGATCGCGCAATACTGAGAAATAAAATATTTGTCGTACATTTGAGCCTAATTTTTTGTGTATACATTTCACGTTTCTCAAAAATTTCTCCATATTTTCATATTTAGGCACATACGAATATATGAATTGACCTTTTAAAGTTATATCGAGCGATCTTTACAGTCATACAACAAACACAACTCTGTAGTACATATTATTTGTATTACGATCTTTGTTGGATAAAATTCGATAATTCTTATATAATCTCTTTCGAAGGCGTCTATGTGAATGTTGTGAACTAAGCGCACAACATATTCTTATCAAAGCCTTTCTCACTATATTGAAATTGATCAAATATGAAAAAATTGCATTGAACGAGCCAAATTTGGAGAAATCATTTTATTCACTTCCATTTTATTTATAAAACTAATCAAAAAAAAATTTTTTTTTTTTTTTTTCATAATCATTCATGATAAATTAACAAATTTTACAATAATAAATAATGACCTTTTGCTTTATTATTTTTATTACTTTCTTGTTTCCTTTTGTTTCAGCACAATTACCTGATGATGATTATTCTTTAGATGCATTTTCAGGTTATTTCGATATTTTAATTGGTTTTTTGGTTCCATTCCTCGTTTTTATAATTGTAGATTACGATTATGATGATGAAGGTTCAAAACCAATCGCACAATTAGCTAGGTCACTCATATATTTTTTAATTATTGGCTTACAACAAGAAATAGCTTACGCATTTTCTCCAGATAATGTTTCTAGCCATGTTAAAATTTTACAACATATCGTGATTAGTTTATTGTTAATTGGAATTATTGGGGAATTTATCTTACTTATTAAATCAAGAGGAGCAAAAACCGAATCTTCATCAGATAATGAAGAAGAAGAAGAACGCATTGAATCCCTAAAAAGACATATACGAAAACTATTGCAAGGTTTTAAACGAACCCTTGAACAAAGCATTAAAACACAAATTCAAAATCTTAAACAAACCCTTGAAGAAAACTTTAATATAAAAATTCAAACCCTTGAAGAGAAATTCAATAATAAATATGAAATTCTTGTAAAAAGCATTAATAAACATTTTCAAATTCTAGTAGAAAATATTGAAAATCGATTTCAAACTCTAGTAGAAAGTATTAATAAACAACTTGAAAATCTTAAAGAAGACCTTGAAAAACAAATTGAAACTCTTAAGAAAAGCATTGATAAACAAATTGAAGCTCTTAAAGAGAAATTTGAAAAACAATTTAAAGAACAAACTCAATCTCTTGAAAAACTTAGGAATGAATATGAACAGAAAGTTAAAACCCTTGAAGAAAGAGTTAAAAACCTTGAAGGAAAAGAAGACCAATCCCAACAACGTATCATATGTCAATCGATTAATAAGATAGAAAGTAGGAATGCTCTGATGCCTATGCAATATATAAGTTCAACAAACGCTATTAGATCTATGAAACATATTATTGAAAAGGGTGAATCACTAAAAATGCAAAAGATGACAGCAGACCTTGAAGAAAAAGAAAATCTAATTTATGGTGAACGTAGTATTCATGTTGGAAATACATCAACTAATTCAAAAAGTAAAACTCAAAAAATGGTTAACAAAATTAATGAATTTCTTGATTTTACTAACTTTATTCGTTTAGGTTTCTTACTAGATTATTTAGGTTTAATCCTTTTTATAATTTCAATTGGCTTTTTACTTAATGATTTGAAAGGAAGTATTACACGAAGTTTTATCTTAACTATAATTATTACTGTTTCTATCACATTTTTCTTTCAATTTATGATATTAATTATTGCATATAGTAGAAAAAATTTAAAAAGATATATTAAAGAGCATCAACAATCTTATAGTAATATTTTTCCTAAATATCATGCTCATATTACTATTGCAAATGATCTTATAACCACTAATGTACTTTATTTGCCTTCTTTAATCAATTATTTCCTTTTGCAAACTCCCGGTATTTTCAATAAGATATTTCTAAATTTAACTGCTTTGTTTGTTAGTTCTTGGATTGTACTTACGTATAAAACAGTTTTAAACAATGAAGGAATGAAGGAGGAAGGAGGAAAAGAGCCTGAAACTATGGATGAATTGAATGAGGAAATGGAGGAAGGAAAAAAAGAGTCTGATCATGAAAATGTTTAGAATTAAATATAATTAGAAGTTTTTGTTATGACTTTTTATTTATTTGTATTTTTGTTCTTTCCCATTTTTTAGTATAATAAAATATTTAAAAATTTCGCTATATTTTAATTTACTGTAAGAATTTCTAATCGCGTGACCGCACAATTTTTGTCGGACTATTTTATGTTAATCTGATATCCATCACAACTAGGGTCGGTTTCCAACCTGAAAAGTCACGTGAATAAATTTTATTTGTTAAAAAAAAAAAATTCCCAAAATATTAATAATGTCAGTCAAAGATATTGTTCCTATTTGTCCCAAAGCAAAATTGCGATTTATTAAAAATTACCTATCAATACATTTAAAGAATAAAAGAAAATCATCCTTACCGTTTTTGATCGTCAATCTATAATTAAAATACACAATCCCGTGAAAAGTTCTGTATTCGCCTAGACTTTTCTGGATGCCAACGTGTAGGTTATTTAAAGCCAAATTTTAATATTAAGGGCTTATATAAAACTATTTAAATAGATTATCTCGTGAGTATTTTAATATTAAAATAATCACGAATAATATTGCACTTGTTGTCTTGTTGTGTACAGGTAAACTCTCTTAGAGTCAGTATGCTTAAAAAACAGTATTTACATATCAAGTATTTATTTGTTCATTAAATTGCTCGTCGTATTAAATAAAATAATAGAATATCGGCCAAAAATATTGTTCACTAAATTGAAAAAAAAATGCGAAAATCATTAAAAATTTCTAAATTTATCACTATCGCCAATAATTAAAGAATAAATAAAAAACTTTAAATCATTCTTACCGTTTTTGATCAAGTCGATACACATATATAGTTAATATATGAAAATGAAATTATCAAAATTTTTATTGAATTGATCAAATATAGCAATCGATTGGGTGAGTTATTTTGTTTTCCTCTTCCTTTAATTTAAATATAAAACATGAAAATTTCCCTTTTTTTTCGCCATCATCACGGCAATCTTTTCACAATAATAGATAATGTCCTTTTTCTTTACCATCTTTATCACTTTCTTGTGTCAGCACAATTACCTGAAAATGATTATTCTCAAGAAGCATTCTCAGGTTATTTTGATGTTTTAATTAATTTTATGGTTCCTTTCGTCATTTTCGTAATGGTAGATTTCGATTATGATAAAGAAGGTTCAAAAACAGTCGCTCAATTAGTTAGGTCGCTCATATATTTTCTTCTCGTCGGCATGCAACAAGAATTAGCTTTTACATTTTCGTCAGTTAAAGTTTCTAACTTTATCAAAGTTTTACAACATATTTTAGTTGCTTTATTATTGATTGAAATTATTGGAGAATTTACATTAAGCATTACAAAAGAAAAAAGCTCTATCCGCAATCCATTAAATAATGAAAAAAGCTCTAGTATCCATGAACGAAAAGTAGAACCTTTATTAAAAAAATCAGAAACTAAGATTTCAATTTCAAGTTCAGCCGATAGGGATACAAAAACTACTATTGAAAACAATGTGCAATCTGAAGAAAAAGAAAATGAGTTAAAACCAGAACCTAAGATTTTAATTTCAAGTTCAGCCGATAGGTATATGGATGAAATATATGAGCAACCTGAAGAAAAAGAAAATGTGTTAAAACCAGAACCTAAGATTTTAATTTCAAGTTCAGTCATTGACTGGATTATGGGAAACAAAAGTACTTTTATTCGTACATTATTCTTAATAGATTATACATCTTTAATCCTTTTTATAATTTTACTTGGTTTTTTGCTTAATGATTTAAAAGAAATTATTACGCGTAACTTCGTCATAGCTTTAGCTATTTCTTTTTCTCTTACATTTATTGTTCAATCTACAATATTAATCGTCGCAAATCGTGGGAGCAAATTCAATAATTATATTGTTCATCATCATCAAGTTTATTATAAAATATTTCCTAAATATCATGCTTATATCACCATTGTTATTGATATGACAATCACTAATGTGGTTTATTTCCCATCTTTAATTAATTATTTTCTTTTGCAAACCCCAGATATTTTTAATAAGATATTTCTAAACGTTAGTGCTTTATTTGTTAGTTCTTTGGTTATGCATATGTATAAAATAATTTTAAAAAATGAAGAAATGGAAAAAAAAGGTGGAAAAGTGGATGAAGGAAGAAAAGGGTCGGAGGATTACGTATAAAATAAAGGAAAATAATGTAGCAATAGAAATAGTGGAAGAAAATTAAAAAGTCTGACCATGAAAAGTTTGGAATTGAACGCATTTCGATTATAAGTCGGCGTCGCCTAATATTTTATTAAACCTCGCTTGCTGATTTATTGTCTAGTTATGTGGTTTCTCAATTTAAGCACGAATTAGTATTAATCTTAATAGTCTCTTAGTTTAGTAGCATGTATTAAGTATATAATAAATAAAGTAAGGTTCTTTGTGACAAATTTGTTCGATCAAAATATGTAGACGTTTAATCAACATCTTTTCCGCGTATAAATAAATAAGGGTTATATAAAGTTTTACTATTTTTTTTTTTAGATCGGATAATTTGCCATTACTGAATGGCTGTGAAAAGAGAATGATATTCTGATAGGCGGATAATATTTCTTTTGTTATTTGTTTTACTTGCTTCAACAATTCAGCAGAGCTTGCGTTGGCTGTCATTTCACTCTAAATGCGTTGGTTAACTTCTATTTCATAATTTATACTCATCTCTTTATACAAGAAGAGTGACCTTTTGCACCTTGTAGCTTGTAGTTGCATTTTCGCTTTAAATTCCATCGATTATTTGAAGTTGTACCTCCCATCATCTGTTAGGTTTAGAAGTGAAACAGTAAATTTATTTAATGTACTTCTAAAAACCGGTGTTATAATATATAGATCTATATAGCAGCAGCCAGCAAGTTATTGAGCGAATAATTCAAGATATTTAATTTCAATCAAAAATCTACCGTTTAATACATATTACTATTGTTGTTACCTTACAACTTTGACTAATATTTAGTATTTCATCTATAGTGATACAGACGATTTACTAGGCTTGTTCAATTCTGATCGTTCTGGTTTTTTGATCGAAAATCCATTAATCAATCCTATCATGTGAACAAAATCAAAATTGAGTTACTTTGATCAGCTTATTGAACGGTTAACCTTGGTCACCTTATATAAAATATTTTTCTTTTTAAAATTTTAAAAATGGTAAATAAGCAATACCATAAAGGTATATTAAACTTTTTGAGGGCGCGTATTAAAACTTTACTAGACACCAAACACGTTAAAAAAAGGTGATCAAAATGATACCACATTTTTTGTTGTTCGGAAAGTTCAGGTTGTTGATCAGGTCACACAATTTCAAACGAACGGATCAGAATTGCTGCTGATCAAGTTGATCAACACGTACGATATCTGTTGGCTGTTGCACAATATCAAAACGAATTTTTTTACGATTTCTTTATTCTTATTTTCACAGAAAAAAAGTTTAATTTATGGAAGGTAATTATTCTATTTTTTACAATTAAAAAAAAATAAGGTTCTAGTTTATTATATATATAAGAATATTTTAATTGTTCGAAACCTGTGCATTTAACTTATAGTTAGTTTTATGCAGTAAGGCCGGACATAGAACAAACTTAAACATCTAAAAAAAACTTCTCTTTGTTTGCAAGCATTTAGAATTGTTATGTTTTAGATGAGATCTCTTTTATGTTCAAGTTTCATAGTTTTGAAATATTGACAAAGGCAGAGATCAACAATTATTAAAAATTTATTTACAATTACAGTAGCTAATTATTAATTTTTTTTTTTCCTTTTTTCGTGTTCTGATCTAAGTAAAACAGAAATATCTACAACTTATTTTTAAAAAAAATGAATTAGCATATTGCCAATTTTTACGTGAATGTTTTACGTATTGTGCTGGAGCACCATCAGAAGTTGCGTACAGCCATCGCCACAAACTAAATATCTTGGAGCTATTAGATCTTTGATTTTTGGATAATTTGTCAAGGATTTATTTATTAGTAGTAAGTATATTCATTCATACATTTTATATTACGGTGCTTTGGCAAGAGCTTTTTTGAGTTAAAGTTACTCCTAAAAGTGGATTATACAAAGCAATAATAAATAACATTGTTTTTTGGTATATTTTATATACTACTAAAACCCAGCAAAAATTTCATAGTTATGATATTTTTGTGAGGATAGGTGTTGACATTTTAGGAATGTGGAATGATTAACTAAATTTCTTTTATTAAATAATATAGAAATCGATGGTCAACGACGCGTAATGATGGTTGAAATGGCGAAAGAAATAACATAAAGATTCTAACCTACGATCATTTGGAATCAGTGTTCTGCATATAACATTAAATTAATTATTACGTATAGACCAGAAGTATCATCAGTTATATTCAAAACAAAATCTTCCTTATCTGGATTAATTGGTAATAAAATTTATTATTTTGAATAAAATATATTTAATAATTTAATTAACACAAAAATTTAAAATTATTGTAATAGCTTCGAAAATATAATGTCAGCAGCAGCAGCCAGTAACCATTTTAGGAATTTCGTGTCGGACTTTAAGATAGTTATAGTTTTCTTGTTGAATTTTTTCTTTCTATTCCTCCAAACAACCTTACTTATTACAAGAATAATTGTCTTCATATTGGGATGATGCACGTCGTGTCGCTTTACTCCAACATATCATTGCCTCATTTCTCGCTTAATATTATTAGGGAACCTCTTGTGTACAGTAGTATATAATATATAAGTCTTATTCGCGAAGAAAAAAATATATCCTTGGATTTTTTAATGGTGATTAACGGGATATGTAGAAACCATCATTAAAATTGTATATTGAGGTGATGCAAATTTTATTATTAGATAAGTTCTATAATACATACGTTCCTGTCGTATAATTTAAATATATTGAATTAAAATATTTTAGGGTAAAGTGTAAATGATCTTTTTTTTTTAAATTGTTAAATTATGATAAATTGGAATTTAATAAAAATAATATACCTATTCCGAAAAAAAAAGGATCCCACCTTTCTTGCCACCTGATTTAACCTGATTAACCTGATTAACCTTCATGATGTATGTGATGATTAATAAATGTTATAATGAATTTTTTTTTTTGCGTAACTTGATTTTAATTAGTTGAATCTTTGATGGTTTTTTTTTTATTTAACGTAGAAAAAAAAAACGCCTAAAAAAAAAAAAACTCCTAATCTTCTAATCCCTTTAATCTCCTAAATAATCTCCTAAATAATCTTCTAATTTCCTTAATCTCTTAATCTCCTAATCTCTTGATTTCCTATGGATGAAAAAAATTCTTTTACAGCCAAAGAATTTTTACCAAATAAAACTTCCGAAATAATACTACAATTTTTCAATTGATAACCTAATTTAAATTGAGAAAATTCTAATTTATTAATTTTTAAATATAATAAAGAATCAGGTATAAAATTAATAAAAGATAATATAACATCTTCATTAATTTTAATAATATTAAATTCATAAACATATAAAATTTTTAAAAATTTACAATGTTTAAGTATAGAAAATAAAGCTATAAAATCTTTTTCTTCAGATATTGGAGTGATTAATGAAATAAGTGAAGAACAATTTTTTGATATTAAATCAAATAATTTTATACAACGTTCCATACTTGTATGTATATCCAAATGAGTTAAATTATGTCCATTATTTTTTATAATAAAAGTAATTAAAGAATTTTTTGAACTATATTCCCAATATGTTAATTTTTTTAATTTAGGAAAGTTCAATGAAATAATAATATTATTATTAATATCATCATCATCATTTTCATCATCATCATCATCATCATCATTATCAATTGTAAAATGTAATTGATGTAAGATTAAATCTTGTAAATTATCAAACTTTGATAAACTTTTAATCGCGTCATCATCAATTATGCATGAATTGAGTTTAAGCTTAATTAAAGTTGAAGTATGAATTTGTAAAGATTGAATTATTGGGGTAACAATTACATTATTACCAATTATAGAAACGGATTGAAGAGAATGAAGAGAATTAATAAAATCGATCACATCATCAAATGAATCTTCCGATGAGATACTTAAGGATATTGAAATAATATTATATTTTGAAATCTTTTTTAATATTCTTGAATCAATCATTTGACAAAAATCAAAATGAGATAAATTTGATAAAAATTGATCATTATTATTATGATCTAATTGAATTAATTGTTTACAAAGATGATTTGTGATGATTGAAACATCCATTATATAAAGGGAATCAATCATGGAATAATTAAATAATATTTTAAATAAAGATTCAATTATAAAATTAAAAAAAATTTGTGGATTTTTATCAAAATTAATAAAAGGACAATGAAAATTAATAGAATTTGTCATATAACGAAGATATTCCCAACCACTTAAACTTTTATATAAATAAAAATTGAGAAACCTTGAAGAATTTGATAATGTTTCACTTAATAAATTATTTAACCATTTATTTACCAATACCACCAAATCAACAAAACTAACAAGTTTAATATATTTGGGATAATCAAATGATGATGATGATGTAGGAATTTTTAAATCTTGAATAGGAATTTTTAAATCATAATGTAATCTTGGATAAAAATTTGAAGTATCTTTTGGTATATAAAAATGTTTTGATAAATTATTTAAATCTTTTTTAGAATTTAAATCAAGAAATGATAATAATATTGGTATTATTTTATAAAATTTATTAAAAGGATATTTTGTTGTTAAATTTGTTGAATTTGAATTTGAATTTTTTAAATTTGGATTTGAATTTGTGATTAAATTTGAAAATGATAAAGGAGCTCTCCATAATCGTACTATACTAAATTTACACCAATCATGATTAACTAAAGTGGCGGAATGTAAAGTTTTGATATCATTTTCTTCAATTTGATTTATAATACATTCTATACATTTACTTGGTAATTCTGGTAATATCATTTTTAATTATGAAAGAAAAAGGAATAGAAGGATATTTAAAAAAGAGAAGAAATAGTGAGAAAGAGAAAAAAAGCTTTTAAATAAAATGATTTTTTTTTTTTTTTTTAGTTGTGAACTTGTGATTGATGAGAAAATTTTTGGTTTTTGAACTTAATATATATGCATTATACAAATATATCATAGTTATTACTATTGGTTTGCATAAATGTTTACATATCGCATAAATTATTTTTTCTATTATAATTTCCTTATTTTTTACAGTAATTAAGTATATTAAAATGTCTGATATATTAAGAATTTTAAGTTACACGAACTCGTTATAAAAAGTAAATGTGTGTGGCGTTTTTTTCCTTCTAACGAAATACAGTATATAAATGTGAATATAATGTGTACACATCTGATAAAATTATATTTTTACTGTAAAAAAAAACTTTAACAAATTCAGCATTATGAATTTTCATGAACTTTCTTTAAATTATCATAAGAGAAAAGTGAAAGGAAGTTCATTAAAGTTCTTTGTTATTTTTTATTATTAGAATGTGGCTTATTTTACACGTGGTTACTATTTTGTATATCAAATGTGGCTTACCCTTTATTATTCTCGGTTATTAAGAATAAAAATTAATAAAATGAAACGCGTATAAAGCGTATTACAAATTATGAATAATTGCATTATTATTATAATAATTTGTTTTAAATATCTAATTATTTATTTATTTATTTATCGATAGTTATAATTTGTTGTTCTCTCCATTTAGCACCTTTAAAATATACGATGATTAATGCTGATACACTCAATAAACTAGCAGCTCCTAATAAAGTAAACATCCAACCTAATCCGATTGAATCTTGTAATAGAATAGTAAATAATGAAAATATTCCTGTTAATACACTTCTTAAAAATACATGAGTTGATATTGCCGAAGCACTTTGATCAGGATACGAATCTATTAAATATGCTGATGTTGAAGTATATACAGTCATTACACTGAATCCACCTAAAAATAAATAAATAAATATTATAATGTCTTCCGGACAAATTATATAATCCCTTGTTACGCTCCGGACTAAAAAACAAAAAATTTCTTCATTTCAATACTTAATTAAATACTTACTTAAGAATATTAATATAATTGGTAATGAAATATGAACTTTTCGTTCAATTAACCATCCATACGCGATAAAAATTAATGGTATAATTATAGAACCTAACCATATACTATTAATTCTTTGTTCAGGTATAAGTTTACCATTATTCTTATTCTTAAATTTAATTAATACAATATCAGACCATTTACCACCTATTACGTTACCTAAGATTTGACCCAAACCTAAACTAATAAATACTAATCCAGCTTTGGATGGGCTTAATCCATAAAACTTCTTGGTATCGAAGATGTTTTAATATTAATAATTCCAAATAGAATGCTCGTGTAAATATTTATTAAGATTACATTCGGATATTTAAACATGTATAAAGGTAAGAATGGATTGAACTTTTTTTTCTTCATCATATCATCATGTTTGATAGTAAAAGTTATTTTTGAATTGTATGTTTCAGAAATAAAGAATAAAGAAATTAAAGTTAATGATCCAAAAATTGAGAGAAACCAAAAAATCCATCTCCATCCAAGATAATCAGTAATATAACCACCAACAATTGGACCAATTATTGGTCCTATTACTATAACTAAACTAAAATAACCATAAGCTGTTCCTCTCTCTGTCGGAATGTAAATATCTGAAATAGTACCAGCTCCTATACATAAAGCTGCTGATACTCCTGATGCTTGTAATCCACGCATTATTAGTAATAACCAAATATTTGTGGCTACCGCGCATGTAATACTCGTAATCATGAATAATAACAATGATATTACATACGCTTTCTTTCTTGTTTCATATACTTCTGAATATGATGCCCATCCAAGTGGAGCTATTCCATTAAAAAATGTGCTAATGGATATCAATGCATTAGAAAGGAATTTAGTGGTATGAAGACTTTCGGTGATATCTATAATTGAAGGGTATAGGATCGAATTGGCTATGGGTGATGTCATTGTCACAAATCCCACCAAGCTTAGCGTAAATAATTTCTTATTTTTACTCCAATTTAATGGATTTAAATTTAAATTATTTACTTTTTCTTCTTTCGAATTTTGAATCGATTCTTCAACAATTATTATATTTTCGTCCTTGGAAATTTGTTCTTTTATTTCCGTCATTGTAATAGAATAAAATAACTCGTATTATCAGTCATACGTTTATATAAAGCATAATCCAATCTCTTTTTAAACTTAACTTACACCATATTTACACATAATTTAATCTAATTTTCACGGATAAATATCTTTAAATTGTAAACAAGCCATAAAATCTATTAAAAATTTCTTTTATTTCATTTTCTTTTTATCTGTTATGTAAATATTTCTTCAGCGAATATATTATTATATCGACGAATATATTATTTTAATGTCATATACAATAAACAATACGGAAAAGTGGAAAACGCGAACCATGTCATTGACCAGTGACCACCTCAATTCATTAAATTTCTTAAAATGTAATCCGAATGCTTTCTTAGTCCTAAAAAAATTCCATGAAATAAGTCAAGATTGACGATTTATTATAATAATGAATAATAATTTGCGATCATAAATTACAGTAAGTAATTCATAGCGTAAATCTTATGATTGGTGTTCATTGTTGATTGTATGATTATACTTACCATTGTACATATAGCATTTAATTGATAGAAACACTAGGAAATAGAAACACATAAGGACTTAAGGAAATTCATTCTTTTTTTATTTATTTTTTTTTTTCAAAAAAAAAAAAATAAATTACAAAATTAAAAAAATTTACAAAAAATTTAATACAAAATTCTATCAGTTGCTACAAAATTATAATAACCATCAAACGTATAATTTAAACTAAGACCACTATCTTTCTTTTCTCGAACAAAATCTTCCAAAGGATCCAAATAATATTCATCTGATTCACTATCAATATAAAAAGTGATCTCATTAAACATTGTAGAAAAATGATCAAAACGTCTCTTAAAAGAATTAGAAGAAGAATAATATTGATCTTTTAAAGAAATGAAACGTAAAGAAGGGAAATTAATGAAATTAATATATCGATCAAAATCCTCAATATAACTCATCACATAATATGTAAAATCGGCAGAAAAATATTTTAAATGTTTTAAATGATTGATATAATTAAAAAAGGTGGGTTTTTTTCTTCTTAAATCATCAACATATTCATCATCATCATCATTAATCATTCTAATACTAACTTTTAAATCCAAATGAGATAAATTTGGACATAATTTTGATAAAGGTAAACTATTTTCAATTATATCAATATAAATATTTAACTCTAAATGTTTTAGAGTTGAACCGGATGATTTGATAATTGATTCTACTAAATCATATCTAATCTCAATATCATTAATCTTCAAAGTTACTAATTTAAGATTTGCTCTAATCAAAGGTTCTAATATTATATTAATAGGATAACATTCATTAATTTCAAGATATTCTAAATTAATTAATTGATCAAATGTGTTAAGTAAAAACATATCATTATGATGAATGTATCTTAATACTAATTTTTTGAGGGAATTTGCTTGATGTTTTATAACAGAAATTAATCTTAATATATTAACGAAATTATAAGTTAAATTAATTGATGTTAAATTCTTTTGACTCTTAATCACATTACATAATTTTAATTCCATAGTTGGATCGATAAAAAATAGATCATAAAACCTGACCTTTTTTATATTTTTGCAGACTGTAGGTAAAAGGTCGAGAAATTCTTGAATATTATCAAATTGTTTTACTGAAGAATTCATGATTGATAATTTTGTTATTTCTCTTATACCATGACTTGGATAATTTGATTGATATGATTGATAGGATTGATCTAAATGATTTGAATGATTTGAATTATTTGAATGATTTGAGTGATTTGAGTGATTTGATTGGTTTCCTTCCCCTCCTTCTTCTCCTTCTTCTCTTTCTTGTAATTCTTTAAGAAGGAAAATATTACAATTAGGTATATCCTGATATTTTTCTGCTAAATCCAATAATAAATTTTCAATCTTTAAAGAATTTTTTAATATCAATCTTAATAAAGATTTTTCAATAATATCAATGATTTGATTATTTTTAAAATCAATATAAATATCAGAATAAGGAAATTTTTCAACATAATAATTTTTCAACCAATAAAATGCCGCACGTCGAACTCCTCTTGGATCAAGAATTTTTATATAACATGTATAATTAAATAGTGGCTGATAAGAATCTTCAATATCAAGTTCATATTGATTTTTTAATAAATTCTTAACTTTTTCATCAAAAAATCTAATAAATATTTCAATATTAACTGGTGAATATGTATTTGGCATAGGATTATTCCATAAATATGGTATCACTTGTTTACATAAATTTCGATTTACTCGAACACATGAATATAATGTACTTATATCTTTTTCAAGATAATGAAAGATATTATGTATAATTTCTACGGGAAAAGAATTAAGTCCTCTCGTTTTTTCTTTAGACATTTTTTTTTTTAGAAAGAAAAAAAAGGAAGAGTTGAAATATGATCCTAACGTAAGCTATTTATATATTTTTTTATTTTTGGAAATTTGCGGAAATCATCCGACTTCTAAATTAGAACAAATTAAAGTGTGAACTAGTTTTTGAAGACCCTATTTTTTTAAAAGCATATTACTGCATAATTTATCATATCCCTAATTTAATATTGTTAAATTTAGAATACTATTTATGTTGTTGTATTACTCATTAATACAATAAAGGTTAATAAGGCTTTAACCTTTTACTAGTGAAGATCGACACAAAATAACGTTATTATATCGTTATTTCCTCTGATTCAAACTCATATGATTAAAAACAATTAAATTTGTATTACTTTACATAATTGTGTAACGGAATTATACTTTTTATGATTGATAATAGGTTGTGTAATGAAATTATACTAAATATAATAAATAATAGTTGTGAGAAAAAAAAAAGCTAGGTTTCTTTTTTAGCTTATATCTGTCAAAATCAAATCAACTTTAATTAGAAAATTTGGTTTAAACATAAATATATAACTTTTTTCCTGATTATATCCTTTAAAAAGTTCATTATAACATTTAATTGAAGTTATTCTGTAAGTTTCAAGGATTTTTAAAGAAGTAAGAAAGTATAAAATATTAATATATATTAATAAAAATTTTAGTTAGTATATTTTTTATTAATTTTAATTACATTTTTTAATTTCAAATTATTTAATAAATTATTGTAAATTTTAGTAATATGTATAGTAATTATTCTTTATACCTTAATCTTAATTCTGGCCATACTGGTTTTAACTTTAATAATTATTCTTTATAACTTAATCTTAATTTTGGGCATACTGGTTTTAACTAATAATTATTCTTTATAACTTAATCTTAATTCTGGCTATACTGGTTTTAACTTTAATAATTATCCTTTATAACTTAATCTTAATTCTGGCCACACTGGTTCTAACTTTAAATACTTATTAAGTATTGAAAGAAATCAATTATTATATATATTGTTCATATATATTTCAATATTATATATTTTAAATTTTAAATTAAAATTTTGTTCATTATATAAATCATTAAAAAAAATAAAAAAAATTAAAATTTTGTTAAATTATAAAATTATCATTATATCAAATATCAATAAATAATAAAATCAATAAAAGATAAATTCAAATTTATTATAGTTACTGAATTTTATATACAGTATATTATATAGTAATTATCAGTCATCTTCATATTGTATATTACAATCTAAATATAATTTAATTTAATTTAATTTAGGAATTTGTGATATATCATTTGACCAGTTAAATGTTATATTCAATGGATAAAGTGCGGATAAGTCACCGAATTTACAAAAGTTAAAAGTATGTTTTTTTATATGACCATAAATTATTCTGCATATTATATTGTATATGCATATAAAAATCCTTTTATAGAAATAAAACTCCTTAAAAAGTCAGGCTTACAATTTAAAAATAATAAAGCGAAACAAAATTTTTATGATCATTCGTCTGATTTGCTTTTTTTTCTTCTTTACAATCGCGTTGTAATGTTATGATAACACGTCCATTGATATTGAAGAAAAAGAAAACCATACAAAATTTCTTAAAAGAATCTTCTGTATAAGCTATATAAGCCTTGCGGACTCGCGGCTATCATCACGTCTTGAATTATTAAGATAAAGAACATCTAAGCCAAAATGTGGCAAAGAATTTGATGATAAACGTTATACCAACACAGCCATGATAATAACCATTCGATAATCGAAACTCTTTGAATAATTTGATTTGTTTTTGTTTAAAAGTTAAAAAGTTATTTCATGTTTGAATCAGGAAATTAATCCAAGATTTGTGTAATATTGTACTACAAACAATTATATTAACATACCAAGTATTCCTTTTTAAGGTAAATTACTGGACCTAACAAAATAATTCATTTTAATTCATACATTTTCAAAATTACGAACAAATATGTTTAAAATGTTTGTAAGATTTTTGATACACAAATAAATGCCTTGTGCATACATGCATAATACGACTAATCCGTTTAATTTATCATTTATCATATCAGCAAACGTTATTATAAAAAAATCTTGTTTTCCAAATTTTCTAAATTCTTCTTTCATCTTCTAAAGGTTATGGTCAAAAATTCTAACTTACATTCGACAAATAGACAATTGTGCTCAATAATTCCTATAAAAGATGTCAAAAGAGAAATGTTAATAAGTGTTACCTTCGGAACTATGCATCATTTGCATATCAAGCAAAAACTGTAGATCAATAGATGTGTATTATATATAATAAATCATAAATACAATTATTATTATATAAATAAAATACAATAACATACAATACACTACTAAGCCACCTGTATATAAAGATCCGATCCCCCATTCAAAAGGGCGTGTTTGAATTTTCACACTATCTTTCGCTATTTGCTTTGAATCGAAGGCAAAGTTTATTGTATTTTATTAGCCTCAAAATATACTTTAAATGTTTGGTGTTAATAAGGAGTTATGGATAAATATGATATATTGTTGAGTTGTTTGGTAGCAATGCACATTTTTCTATGTCCTTTTACTAAAGTAGAAGAGAGTTTTAACCTCCAAGCGACTCATGATATTTTGGAATATGGAATAAGTTTAGAAGCCTTAAAAAAGGTAGAGTGAAAGACCTTATATTTAGTTATTCAAATTATTATTTTTCTAAAAAAAAGTTATTTACTCATAACATATACATATTTTTTTTTTTTTTTAATTATTTAAAGTATGACCACTTTGAATTTCCTGGAGTTGTTCCACGTACTTTTGTTGGACCATTAGTATTAAGTGGAGTGAGCTTACCATTTATTAAAATTATGAACTTTATAATTCCTAACTTAAACAAATTTATTTCTCAATATGTTGGTAAGTTATTAAATCTAAAATTTTTTATTTTTAAAAAAAAAAAAAAAAAAAAATAATAATAAGCCAAGTTTAATAAATAAATTGAACTTATTTGTTTCATATTACAGTACGGCTTGTTCTTGGATTATTTAATATATACTCACTCTCTCGCCTTCGATCATCGATAGAAATGTCATTTGGTCGTCGTATTTCAAAAGCTTTTGGTATACTTAGTGCGTGCCAATTTCATACTATTTTCTGGGCAAGCAGAACTTTACCCAATATGTTTGCGTTTACATTAAGTATGAACAAAATTCTAATTCAAAATTCAATTCAATAGTATCATGAACATGTGATTCATTATTATTAGTTATTCTTGCATTTTCATATTGGATTTCTGCGATTACCTCTTCCGATTCAAATAAGAAATTACTATCAATGATTCGATATATGACATTTACTATAATAATTTTTAGATTTGAAGTAGCTTTATTACTTGTTCCGATTACGGTGTTGGAATTGTGGTTAGGAAATTTGAAGCTTCTCGATGCTCTTAAAACTGGAATTTTTACCAGTCTGTGGAGTTTAGGTAATTATTATACCAATGCTATAATTTTAATATGAGTTATAAGAGATCATATAGTTTTCGTGATTTGATAGGTCTGTCTTTATCGGTTGATTCCTATTTTTGGCAAGAGAGATGGATGTGGCCTGAAGGTTACGTATATTATTTTAATATCGTACTTGGAAAAAGTAGTGAATGGGGTGTATGTAGAAAGCATTTTTATAACTGTTCATTTTTTTTTTTTTTTTTTTTGTTTAAAATTAATTATTTATTCATTTTAAATTTTTTTTTTTTTCAATGATGCTATTAGGTTTTGCCCTTTCACGCATATTTCACTTCCTTCCTTCCACGGCTTCTTTTAATATCTTTACCATTAAGCGTATTTTCCGCATTTGTTGATAAGCGTACTCTTAAGTTCTTACTCCTTATGCTTTTTTTTGTAACTGGATTTTCTTTCCTTGGACATAAGGAATGGCGGTTTATCGTTTATGTTGTGCCTATCTTTAACATGTGTGCAGCTATCGGATGGATTTGGGTGTATGTATAATTTAATTCATTAACTTACTGATTTATAGATTACAAATATTTTCGTTTCACTAATTTAATAATTTTTATACATTAAAGAGAACGAAAAGGTTCAAAATTCGTATTTATTTTGATAAACTGGATTATTATACTTTTGTTGATTATGAGCTTTTTAGCAAGTATATCGATGACACTTGTCTCTAGTGAAAATTATCCCGGTGGCGTTGCCTTACAAAAACTTCACAAGATTCAAAATGATTATAATAATGGTGAGATAATTTATTATTATTTTTTTTCTATCGATCTTTTTTGTTTTTTTTTTAAAAAAAAAAAAAATTTACTATATATAAATATATTACATACATAACATATTATTAGCAAAAGTCCATCTTGATGCTTATACAGCAATGACCGGTGCATCAAGATTTGGTCAGATTCGTAATGACTGGGTATATTCCAAAAACGAATCCCATTTATCACCATCTGACTATATAGATTATACATATCTGCTGACCAGTACACCTCAAGATCATGAATCTTATTTTAAGGTTATTTATACAGTAGATGGTTATGAGAGATTAAAGTTGAAAATGCCAAAAGTACTCGTTCATAATTGGCTGGAATTTGTTGGAATTGTTTTTTTACGTTACGATAAAAATGCGGTTTTATGGAAATCTTGGCTTCCAGTACATATTATTACTGAGCCAAAAATCTGGATTATGAGAAGAAATTCTAAAACCCTTGAATCTTTCTAAATCAGTTCTATTTGCAGAATAAATGAGACAAACTATATTTATACACGATTAACTGGTGAGTATAAAATTGTTTATTATTTTTATCTATTTTTCTTTCTGTATTATCTGACTTTTATATTTCAGTAACTGCCGTTCATTACCTTTATTGCCTTTGAATATTATATATACGGATATCAGAAATCTTGACCTATCATTTTTGGTTCAATATGCAATTTTTATAATTCGAACGAATTATCGGGAATTTGAATTTGGAAATTTTGTAAAAGTTTATTTATACAGTGAACCCGTTCACATAATTTTGATAAAAAGGGGCGTGTAACCAACCAAATTGTATGATGTCTGACAAAATTAATAGCTAATCGTCACCGTAAATTGTGTCACGTTGTTGTACTTTTTGTGCCCAATGACTCATTGAATATTATATCAATATTATTATTACTCCATGATGGGGTACCTAACGTGGTACCCGGTTTTTTTTATGCTTTGCCCCAACAATCGACTAAGTTACTAAGGGAGACGAAAAAAATACCTATTAAAAAAATAATTCCCATATCCGAAGGAAAGACGGGAAAACAATAAAAAAAAAAAAAAAAACATTTGAAACTTTTTATAATTTCTTTAAGGACTATTAATCTAAAATAACTTCTTCAGTTTTATACTTGTTTATGCCACCTTTGAAAAAGTTTTTTGTTTCGTTGTAATAAGCTCAAAAACTTTAGTAAATTACAAATACACTTAAACATCAGACTGCGCCACGCCAAGATGACATTTCTACAGAACAGTACAATCAATCGAAAGTCGTTTCGTCACCGTAAGGTTGACAATAAGAAACCACTACGAATCTATACACCAGGTGAAATCAACGAAGATGACTGTATACCAGTCAGTAGAGCGGGAATAGAAATAGAGACAGGGGTAGAGAAGGAGGAGGAAGAGGTTCGTTTAACCGTTTCATTGTTAATAATGTACTATATAATTTTAAAAATTCAAAGAATAAATACTATAGTTTTCTTTAATGGAGTGAATAAATTTCTCGTTCTTTATTAAAAAAAAATTGTCTTTTGAATAAGTGTTCTTTCTTTGTTATTGTTGCTGCGGCAAGATTATGTCATCAAAAAATAATCGTCACATGTATTCTTTAAAATTAAAAGAGAACGATCATATCCAAAAGATTTAGAGATTTTGATCTAATACGTGAATTTCAAGTTTTTACTCAATGACTCAAAATTTTCCTCTTTTTTTTTTTAAAAAAAACAAATTAATAATAGGAATGGCATTTAGTGAATGCATTAAAACTTCGTACAGAATCAATGGAAAAAGGAGCCACAGCTTCTGGAAAAGCCACGATTCCTGTACCAACGTCAAGTCGACGTATTTCATATTATGCTGATGTTTATCAGACACACAAATGGAAAAAACCTTCAACATATGTTAAATTTTCTTTACCTGTTGAAGAATGTATAGGTTGTCTGTACTGTATGGACGAAAAAGATGATATATGGTTAGCGGAGCATAAACAAAAAAATAATTCAACGTTAACTGAAGATCAATTTGAGGAAATAATGCAACACTTTGAAAATGTTGCAAAGAATAAACCTCAATTATTGGTTTGTAATAGTTATTTGAATCAAAAACGACATCCATTTTTTTTTTGTGACGTTTGATTCTTCATGTTGATCATTGCTCAAACCTAATTACTTCTTTCGTTATCATTCTTTCATCCTATAACACAATAGGCAAAGAAACAATTCCCATCTTGGCAAGATTGCGAAGCATGTCTTTCAGAATCGTTACTTGTCTTGAAAAGCGAAGCCGAAAAAGTGTATTCATATTGGAAGAATAAACGTTGGGATCGGCTTAAACAATATCAAAAAGTCGGCCCATTAATGTTTGAAATAAAGGTTTGTTAGATCTTACATATAATTATGTAAATAAATGAATTTGATTAAAAATTGTTAAACCTTTTCTTTCTTTTAATTCCAGACACAAGAAGGTAAAGATGAAGAAGATCATCCATGGACCTGTTTCCGTCGTCGTGAACTTAAACCTATAAGAAGAACACGTCGCACAGAGACAGCATCATTTGATAAATTAAGGAAAATAAGGAAAGATATAAATTCTGGCCGTCAAATAATGGTCCATGTAACGATGAGAGAAAAAACAAAGAAACAGAAGATTGAATTAGATCGTAAAATTTTTGAGAAAGAATGTACCGCCAGAGAGCTACGAAAGAAGTTGGGTATTAGGAATGAAATAAGTCATGAGCAACCAAAGGTATATATATATTCATTTAATTTATTGGTTGATCAAGTATATTTATAAATTATTTAATCTGTTTTTTTCTCCTTGCAACTTAATAGAAGAGCCGAAAATCATCTTTGGCGGACTTATTAGGGTATGTTCACATTAAATACCTTTTAACGTTTTCTATTATTATATTTACCTTCGAATTTCATCGCAATTAGTGTAACGAAGACAAAATCTGGTATCAAACTTTCTAAGAAAGATGACGAATATCCAATGACAGATATAACAGATGTAAGTTGATGTAATGATTTAATAATGTTTTTAATTTTAAGTAAAATTTGATAATTAATATACCTATGTTTTATTGTTTCTTGAAAAGTATCCATACCTTGTTCAAAGGAAATCGCTTGCTGCTTCCTATTTCAGAAAATTTGATTCTCTCAAACCAACAGATCGAAATTCAATACAATGTACAGCCTTCAGAAGTCGATTTGGTAGAGGGGGTCGTAGAAGAAGGATTATCGATCGTCTTGACGTCTTTTCCTATCGACGCATACGAGAGACCAACGAAAGGTACAAGTATGATTCAGATGGAATTGATGATGTTTTCAGTGACGACGAGTTGAACCAAGATGATGAAGAGAAGGAAGAAAATTACACAGAAAAGTATGAACTTTTAAATAATTTTAAATGCGAAATAAATGATCGACGTTTAGAAATTCATGTGATTAAAATCAATTCATAAATTTTCTCTTTTATAGTATAATCCGGTTTCATTTGTTTAAAGAGGAGGATTATCAAAATCTTGGCGTTTATCGTCGGATACAAAAAGAAAAACAAAGTTCTCCTACGAAACAACAAAGCTTCGATGCTTTAACGGGAAACAATATACCTGCTCAAAATCCTCAACATACACCTTTAACTTTAACAAATCCAGAACAGCGAATAAATGAACTGCGTCTTGCGTCTCGTTCAAATACGGAATCTCGCACTGTCTCACAATTAGATGCTCGCGCGAATCAAGATTCTCGTCAAAAAATAGATTTGGGTAAATATTACTTTACTATAATGTAATAATAAGAATTTTCTTTCCTCAAAGGCTAACATTAATTATTCAAACAGATCATCGCACAGGTGCTGACTCTCGAATCAATAATATGAGAAATAATGGACTAGATGCCCGTGCGAATGTTAATAATATATCGAATGTTGACTCACGTACATTTATCGATTCGCGTACTTATAATGGTTTGAATCGAAATCAAAGTGTCAATACTGAATCAAGTACGAGTCGAGATCCTCGTTTGAATTCTAATTCTCCATCAACACCACGATTAAATAGCGATTCTCGTACAGGTTCAAGACTAGTCAACAGTGTTAATACTGCAGATCCACGGGCACATAACGGTCTTATTTTAAGACCTACTGTGACGTTGAATCATCGCGAAAACATGACGAATCCATATAGACGCCCAATACCAAAAAATATTCGGATGCCAGATGATCCCAATAATAATTCTATCGGAGGTGTTACAAACGTTGTATCTGCTCTAAATGGGTTGACGCCTGCATCACTAGCTGTAGGATCAAACAATACAAGTATATCAGCCACCAGTTCACTTGCTAAAAATCCAATTACACAAATAAATTCTTCAGCAAGACCATTATCAAGTAATAACAACACAAATGGTCAAGGAAATGGCGATGGACTTACACGTACATTATCTAACCCAGGAATGATTACAAACAATGCGGGACAACTAGTAGGACAGATTTTAATGAGTTCTTCAGGTCAGATGTTAGATCCCAGTAAGATTAATGTGAACTCTGCAGGTCAATTAGAAGCACAAAAGATTAATACGGTTAAACAACAAAGAAATAGAGTACAGTTTACTCCAGAACAAATAAGCCAACTTTCTGATTCAAATCCAGCTTTTATGCAACAAATGCAAAAAATAATGTCTATGAAATCATCGTCGAATCCTTCTACAAGCACTGTTACTCAACAAATAAATAATCAAAATAGTCAACGTCAAACTACAGTTCAAACTTCAAGGCAACAAAATATTACAGTGCCAAGTGTTGGATCAAACATACCTTCTAATTCCACTGTTCCACAAAACATTGTTCTTTCATCTGGGATGGTACAATCCCCTATGAGGCAGAATAACATAGTACAATCAAGTGGATCGAGCGGTTCAGTGCCTCAAAATTTTGCCCTTGCTAATGGGTTCAATATATCGCCATCATCTGGATCGTCAAATGTAAGACAAAATATTGTACAATCAAATGGTGTATTGAGACAACAAAATGTTTCTATTGGTGTTAATGGATCACAAAACAATGTGAACGCTAACATATCTCTTGGCTCGCAGACGATCAATGTGAATCCAAATGTCACAATTGGCACCAACGGTCCTCAACGATTCGTTCATCCAATTCATCAAAATGGTATAGTTAACATTAATAATATGGTACGTTTTTCTTTAATAGATGTATTAACGTTAACGATAAAATGGGATCTGTAGACTTAATTAACGAGATATAATAATTTTTTTTTTTTTGAAAAAAAAACAGCCCGGTGTTATTTCAACAAATGGACAATCAACTCCTATAAGAACCATCAATTTAGGAAATCGAAGCTATACACTTGGAGCAGCTAATAATATGGTTCAACTTAACGGAATGAGACCAGGTTTAGCTAACATGGGGGTTAACCCTATTAATGCTAGACACCTTGGCACTTCAACAAATCTTCGACAGGTATCTACCGGCGCTGCTATTCCAAACTTAACTTATCAGAATGGATTCAATGTAATAGCTAATAGTGGTGCTAACTTTGGACATACTAATTTGAACCAGATGGTGCCTATAATGAGTCAAAATGTGTTAAACGGTGCAATGTTAAATAATCTAATACTTCCAAGTCAAAGTCCAAGACAAAATAACGTAAGCCCATCAAGTGTATCGACTTCAAATGGTGGCAACAATTCTGTTGGAACACCTTCACCACAACCTCAAGCAGAACAAAGAACTGTTCGTTAGAGTGTTATGTATATACTTTTTTGGGGTGAAGGAATTAATTTTAGCAAGAACTTTATATTAATATTTTCTTTCCAAAGATAATTAATTAGGGAAAATTTTTCCCTTCAATTGAAAAAAAAAATGAAAGGCTTGATTTTGATTATTCAGAGAATATTTTCAGAACCAGCAAGCAGTTCTTAATATAACACTCACCATATAAAAGGAAAAAAAAATGAATTAGTTTTTGGTGAGTAAGTTAATATAATTTGTAAATTGAGTTTTGCTTATGCAATTTTGCAAGAATACAAAATATTATCCTAAACATGCTATAAGCTAGCTGAAAGAGAACGCAGAGTGATCAAAATGATATGAAGTTGGTTAGGTTGAATAGGGATTGATTATTATGTTACTTGCAAAGGATAATAGTTATATTTGCTTTAATTAGAAAATACCAACAAAAAATTGAAATCATATTATTTAAACCCGTAATATATAAATTTATATAATATGATTTCACAATGATTCTTATTATTATAATTTTTTTTTTCAGTCCATTGTGTGTATAAGTAAATAAATTTGTAAATTTTTTTTTTCTTTATGTTATGATGAATCCTTTTTTTTTTTTACCTTGTTTCATTCCATTGTTATTTCATCCTTTTGATTTGTTCCATTGTAATTAAAAAAAAAAAAGAAAAAAAAATCAATAATAATAATAATTATTATAATACTGTGTTTACTAATACAGAAATCAAAAAAAAAAGAGTAAAAAACCGTTATTTAAAATTGATTGATTTATATCTGTCTCTTATACACATCTAGATGTGTATAAGAGACAGCTAATACAGAAATCAAAAAAAAAAGAGTAAAAAACCGTTATTTAAAATTGATTGATTTATATACAATTTTTTTTTAGGGCTTTAATTTTTTCCGTTTTTCGAAGAAGTAGGTCATTGTATCCACTTTCGAACAATAAAAATTTTTATAAATGGAATAAACTAAATGTGGTGTAACGGATATGATAAAATTACATTGTCCCAATATTTTGAACTTTTAACGTGTCACACTCTGTCAGTTTGCATTCATGTGAATCGGGTATTCCGATAATATCATTTTTGTGATGAGAACTTTGATAAGAACTTAAAACATTTTATTGAAAGTTGACAAGAGAAAAAAAAGGAAAAAAAAAAAAAGAATTTCTAATTATCATTTTTTCAAAAAAAAAAAAAAGAGTTTCTAAATTTATCATTTGATTTTAAAAAAAAAAATTTCTAAGAAAAAAAGAGATCAATTGATCAATTCTATATATAACTTAAATTATTTATCTTATTTACTTAGATGATTTATCTAAGAAGATACCTTCTGGTTTTTTAATTTTTTTTACAATGGTATGCCATCAAGAAAAGCTTTATTGCCTTCTCTAGTAACAACAATTTGAACATTACCCAAAATTCTTGAAACGAAACCTCCTTCACAATAAGCAAAATAAAATTCCCATTTCTTTTTGAAAATTTCGACATCATTTCGAGTCATATTGGGCCAACTTTTTAACAAAGCAGGGTGAATGTGTTCATCAAATACTGAAAGAAATCTTTCACGCCACAAACGCAATGTACGCGCGTAATGAGGTCCAATGTTTTCAATATCATCAACTATAAGGTTACCTTTTGAACCCTTGTTAATCGCTTCTACTAAGGTTGTCACACTTGGAACATGACATCCTAAAAAGTTGAGAAGTAAAAAAAGATTTTTTAAAAGACATTTTCATGTGAATGAACCAATTTTTCTTAAATTGTTCGAATCTTACCTGGGAAAATATATTTTCTTATAAAATCGACCTCTTTGCAATATCTATCATATCTCGTTTCAGGCATAGTAATAACTTGAAATACACCAACACCATTTTTTTCGTTCAAAAATTTGTCACAACATTCAAAATACGTTTGAAGATATTCATAACCAACAGCTTCAATCATTTCAATACTAATGATTTTATCAAATTGATGAGAAGCAGGTAAATTACGATAGTCACATAACAAAACAGTTATACGATCAGAAAATCCTGCATCTTCAATACGTTTTTCAGCGAGATTTTTTTGTTCAATTGAAAGAGTTAAGCTCGTAACACGGCATCCTGTTAGTCTTACGGCCTAGTATTAAAATGCAATTAGTAATACGAGAAATTAGTAGATATACTTTCTTTTGAAAAAAATAAATAATAAAAATACCAAATATTAAATACCTCGATAGCAAGAGAACCCCAACCAGTACCAATTTCCAAAACGTGATCATCTTTAGTGATTCTTGCTTTTTTGATCATCATTCTCAATTTTCTATATTGAGCTTCTTCTAAACTTTCCTCTTCATTTTCAAACACGGCACTGGAATAAGTCATGTCACTACTTAAGAAGGCAGCAAACATTTCATTGCTTATATCATAGTGGGCGGAAATATTGTTAATGGCGTTGGAAATTGTATTTGCAAAGCGAAGGTTCATAACATAGTTTATAGAACTGAAAACGTATGAAGGAACTGTTGTAAGTTCGTCGAGGTGAGACCTATTCGCTACGAAAATCTGAAGAAAGGAAGTTGATTCAATATCCCCAAAAAATCAAGATAAAAAACCTAACAATTTATAAATTTATAAATACCTTAATAAGAGTTACCAAGTCGTCGCATGTTACATCTCCTAGCATATACGCTTCAGCGTATCCCTATTAATTAACATTAGAAAAATAAGGTGACAATGAAAAATGGTTAGTATTTGTCAAATAAAGTTGGACAAATATATGATCGAATACTTTGTTGTGCAGATCTGAAATCATGTGAAATAAATATATGCTAAACAAAAAAAAAATATTGTACAACAAAAATAAAGAATACTTCGATGTGTAATACATCTTGTCAAACTGTGTAATATTAAAGCGAAATTAATTTAGAAATGATCATATAACTTACCAAATCACCTAATATTAACAAACGAACCCAAAAAGAGTCGTTTATGATTTTGATTTCGCTCTTTAATTTCGAATCTTTAGGGCCAAATTCATAAATACAATCTTTACTAAGTACGCGAAGATGACCGACGTCAATTCGTGACATCAATGAAAGAACAGTATTTCGAGCTAATTAATACCATAATAACAAACAATAATAGTAATTTTTAAATTAGTAAAAAAGACTGTTGAAAAGCCATCTTCGAAAATTGAAGAATTTTAGAAAGAAAAAAAAAAAAATTTAAAAATTTTTTAGTTGAATATACCAAAATGGAGTAAAGGCTCCCATGAGTTTGAAACGACGACCTCTTTTGCATATTGAAAGTAAGAGTCGACAGTCGAAATAACTTTGCTTGATGTATGATTTTTTTTTATATATGACATGTTTAATTAATGTTTCTTTCGTAAGAGAGGAAACTCTTAGCAGAAAGACTGAAAGGTAAATTTGATGGTATTTATATATGCACAGATGTAATTATTATGTATTGTTTAAAAGTAAGTTCGAAAAAATTTTAAGACGATGTACTACATTGTATTTCAGTTCATTTTTCGATTATACCAAGTTTGTGAAATGAATGAGCTAATCTCTTATATCTTTGTATCCATTACAAAGATTATAAATCAAAATAGTATATACGAGTTACTTTTTGGTAAATATGGTAAATATGATTTATGCAGAAATTTGTTTATGTTTATATTTTAATAAAATTGAAACGGTTTCATTTGTAACACGAAACACCGGATAAATCATTAACCACCACTCTCAAATCGTATGACAAATTGATGATAAAGTTCCATAAATGTGATACAACGCGCGAAACGCGTTAAATTAATATATCTTATACATTTCTCATTATCAAATTAAGAAACGATTGCATGAACGAGTAAAATTTAGAAAGAAGAATAACAATGATAACCTTTAATACTCGGTGAGAATGTCAATAATAGACTAGTTGATTATTTTTTTTTAATAGAAGATAGAGGCTATTAACTCAATAGATTTAATTAATATTATCTAGTAAATACTCCAAGCAATATATGCCAGATATGCCGGTAACCTCATGGTAATTGCCGACTGGTGTAATGGTATGTAGATCCAAATTATTTTAATAATTGATAAACCAGGATTAAGGTTAACGAAAACCATAATTAGCTATGATTTTTAATTATTGGGAAAGAGAAACATTTTAATTTTTCCAAATTAAGTGTCATCGGAAAAAAAATAATGAGATAAGGTTACAAATAATGAATTCTCGGGATACTCGGAATTGCGGGTATCGCGCGGACAATAATTACTCGTATTTCCCAATTATGATTTATGACAAAGTAATATAAATATGACAGAATAATATAAACAATGCTGTTGTATAACACTACCGTAATTTTCATATAAGCTCACCGCAGCTTTTATTTCTGGAAATCTATCTTTCTCGTTTTATTACTGATAAGGAGGAAAAAATGTCAAAGATAGATATATTTTTATATGTTGTTATCGCTATTAGTACATTATTTTATATATTTAAAGTACCATTCTTTATAAATAATATATTTGAAATATTATGTTTAATTATTATTATTATATTTTATTATATTATAAATAAAATATTAGAATCATCATTAATTTCATTAAATCAAGTTAATACCCGACATAAAATATATTTTTGTAAAACTTATCATTCTAGATTTTGGCCTGTTAAACATTCTTTTAAATATCCTGTATTATTTGTCGGAGTTGATTTAGATATATTAGAACAACAACAATATAAAAAAGATGGTCATAGTTTGTAAGAATTTTATTTATTGTTTGATATACTTGTATTCTTTTTTTCGAATATTTTGCTTTTAATTAACTTTATTTTCTGGATAGATTTGATATCGGATATAATAATAGTTCAATTATATTTAATATAAATGATGATGATTATCTTGGTAAAATAAATTCCGGAGATGATAATTTAGAAAATCCGTATATACAAAAACCAAAAAATCAAATTAAATCAATCAAAGAAAAATTATTATGGCATATTAAACAACATGTAAGTTTTATTATTAATCTGCTTATCCTTCACTTCGATGATTATTGTTAAATAATTTTATGTGTAATTGTTTTTTAATTAGAATATCCCGACAGATGACTTAAGTAGATTTGAATTAGTTACGATGCCGAGATTTTTAGGATATGCGTTTAACCCGGCTAGTTTTCATTATTGTTACAGCAGAAATAATGAACTTAAAGTTGTAATATTAGAAATTAATAATACTTTTGGAGAAAAACATTTACATGTTTTAAGTAGAGATACTGTTACTGATCAAGAATCACGGAACGGGTAAGATTCTTTCTTAATAATTAATGGATGTAATTTAATATCTAAATTTAAAATAACTTTTATCTTTTTAATAGTTATGATATGAGTTTTACCATGAAACGAGCGTTTCATGTATCCCCATTTAATGATCGTTTAGGGACTTACAAAATGCTTTGTAAAGATCCATCATCGGGTTATTTAGATATGAGGATTGTAATGTACGCAGGTCAAGATAATAAATCACAACTGAAAAAGAAAATGGTTGCTACAGTATCAGGACCTTCATATATATTATCAATGAATAGCTTATTATATGCTATAATAAGATATCCTTTTGATATATTTTTGACATTTCCAAGAATATTAAAAGAAGCATATAAGTTACATTATAGCAAAAAGTTAGGGATTTATCATAGACCAATTCCTATTGAAGGGACTGTTGTTAAACTTGAACCAAATTCGATTGAATTGTATGTATTCTTATTTTTCAGTTTAAAAGTTTTTAATTTTGAACTTAATATATATCTAATCTTTTTCATTTTAAATAGACACGCTCAAGAAATTATTACAAGTTATTTACGTTACTTAATAGAAAGTTCGTTAGAATCAACCTATATTACGATAAATTTACCTGACAAGAACAAATTACCAATAATAATTCGTCCATCAAATCTTCCGATAATATCATTCTCAAACACTATAACAATAAATCTTCATGATTATTCATTTTTTACAAATTTATTAATAAATCAAAATATTTATAGAGCTTTATTAATAAGTTATTTTGAAAAATCTTGGGATTGTGACGAATTAGGATTATTATTAAAATTATTTTTTAACAATAGATTAGATATAGAAAATAAAGTAGATAATAAGAAGGAACCTTTACATAGAGATTATAAAATTAAATTAAGTAATTTTGAAAATAGAATATCAATATTAAGAAGATGGTATTGGAAAAAATCATTCAATAATCAAGAAAGTTCGGGTGAAAGAGCTAAAAAAGAGTTTGATCAACTATTACAAAAAATGTGGCCTCCCATAGGAGTAGATAGAGATTTTATTGCTTCTATAGTACAAAATGATGTTTGTTTTGATATTAGATTGGATGCTACCGTACGTATTTTTTAAAATTTTTTTTTTTTTTCTTTCCCTTTTTTAAGCTAATGTTAAGGTAAATTCTTTTTAGATAAATTCACATGAGGAAGTAGCAGTAGCGTTGAGAGATTTATTTGCAATAAATAGCGAAGGGAATACAATAGCATTATTTGGTTATACACATCTTTACATGTTATCACCATTTACATTTCCTTCTTCAGCAACAATATCAAATATTTCACCAATCATAGCGTCAAAACTTCACTTACTTCCATTTCCACCAAGATATCTTGCCTATGAAAATAAAGAACCACTAAAACATCCAATAGATAAATTTATACATTCAAGCAAATTATTTACTAATAAAGATAAATTAAAATATACTTGGATGATGTTATTAATGGTTTTGGGTTATAGTTTTGATGCTGGGTTTTGGCAAATGATAACGGGATTTATTGAAGGTCCTAGAGGTAATCTTTATTTTGCAGAAAAATGGTTATGGGAAGGTATCGTGGATCTATTGAAAAGGTATGAAAGAAAGGATAAGGGTGAAGAAGAAGATAAGGATGAAGTCAAGAATGAGGATGAGGATGAGGATGAAGAACATTGGGCTGAATGTGAGAGTGATATTGAAAGTGATAATAGTATCAGTATTAAGAGTTCAAATGAAGAGAGAAAGAAACAAGTATTTGATGGCTGGGAGGTTGTTTATGAAAGGATAGGTATGTAGTATTATTTTTTTTTTCCGTCATATTTTCTTTTTTCTCAGCTAATTTGTTTATTTCATTTTTAAAAAGGTAATAATGATAAATTGCAAAAAGTTAAACCAACGCCTACCCCATCTTTACCATCACCATCAACTAAACCTACAGAGGTTAATCCTATGATAGAAGAAGATAAACAACAAAGATTATGGCTATTTACAAAAATTTTTAGAGAAGTGATATTATTGAGAACAGATTAAAAATAATATTTTATAGAATTTTAAATTAATTAATTTAGTTTAATGAGTGAAATTTTAATAGATAAATAGATAAAATACTCAATGACTGCTTAATTATAAAGATTTATATTATGAAATTACGATAATTACTCATAAAATGTAATACAACTTTATAGCAATAAAAATTTTGTTTCATTAATTAATTTATTCATCAAAAAATCTTAATACAAAATTACAAATTACAATATACTATGCTAATACAAATTACAGATGTTATTATTTTATATTACACAATTAAATAAATGTTCTTTGTCTAATTTTAAAGCCTTAAAACATTATCATTATCAGTATTATCATTTTTTTTACCGCTACATTTACCTTTTGCTTGTTTTTGCAGAAGACGTCGTTTCTTTCTCTGTCTTCTATTTTCTTTTGGTTTAACCTTCAAGTGAGAAGAAACATTTCCCTCTAATCTTTCCATAACCATATCCATACCACCATGATTAAAGATATTCATCAAAGTTTCATTATAAGTATGTGCAGAACCAGAATCTTTAGCTATTTTCTTTATCTTAAACTTATTTACAATGCTATCCAATTCACCAGGTCCTGATTCAGGATTATGTTTCATAGCGAGATTCGTAATGGCTAATTTTTGTATAGCATCTGCCATCATACTTTTATATTGCTTATCAGATTCAGGAGAAAGATCGGGGATTGGCCATTCTTCATGAGGCACATGTCTACGTATACTATATTCTGTTGTCTCTATTTCATTATTGCTTGATGGATTCGGATCGATTTCATTTGAAATAATTGTGGTTGTTGTTTGTGAATCTGATTCAACTAAAACTTCTACAGGATGTTTTCCTGTATTTGATGATGTTGAAGCAACTGTTTGTACTGCCTGATTATCAGAAACTCCATAAAGTGTTGAAAAATTAGTGTTTAATGTGGGAAGTATAGGGCTATTAAATGTCTGTTTACTCCCTTGAGGTGATACGGAAAAGTTGGAACTTCCGTTTGTCGATTGAGTTATTGAATTAATAAAGCCTCCTTGATTAAATACAAACTTGTTCAAATGTTCCGTTATAGATAACGAAGGTGTTTTAGTATCTATTTTGTATTCAGGTAATTGTACCGCAGAATTCAAAATTTTCTCAAGATCTACTTTGGGCCCATTTGAGGATTTATTTTTTTTGACTTTTTTATTCTTCGTCTTTTTACATTTTATTGCGGGTAAATTGCTGCCAATTTGAGAATTTACAATTGACATTTTTTCTTCACTAAGAGATTTAGCAGTAGAGTGAAATTTATCACTATGAAAAGTGGTCCTATATAACCCTTGCCGTCCTATTTCTAAAATATGTGTAAATAATTTTATTTACATAAATATCATTATAAACAACATAATCACCTTACCTGCACTTTTTAGCTTTTCATAATATTCAGCTGCTAATGTCTCCAAATTAATAAAATCCGTCCCATGAACACCTGCTAATAACAGAAATAATATAAAATTTAAAAAAAAAAGAAAAATTAATTTACGAATCAAATAATTTTATTTCGAAAATTTTACCCGAATTGAGTCTTCTCGACAAAAAGTTACTTAATAGTTCAAGTAATACACAAGGATTATTATGATAAGATTGTAAATGTGCACTGTCTTCTTGGAACATTTCTTGATATTTATTTGAAAAATCAATTACAATATCAAAAATATCAAATGTATAATTATATAAGTTAAAAAATTTAATCACTTTTTCAACATAATTAGGTTCTCTTGCTTGTTGCTCTTTTGGTATATTATTTACCACAGGTTCAAGTCCGGTATCAGTAGTCCAAGACTTTAATTGATTCGAAACAAATGTCGCAGGTTGTGGAATGTCATAATCAATTTCCATATCAACGAGTTCATCATCCGAATCATCTATTGAAACCGTAGCATTGTGAGAATCTTCTTCTCGTTCTTTGTTTTTACCTTTGTCATACACCAAGGATTGATTACTGGCACCAAATGAATCAGATTCGTTTAATTGTACGGTATTCATATTAACAACAGAAGAAATGGTACCAAAGTCGAGATCAGTACTATATTCTCGTTCTTTACCTTTATCTTTATTAAACGCAACAAGTCTATTATCAGTGCTCTTCAATTCAAACTCTACTTCAGAATCTGAAGACGAAAGCACGATAATTTCATTATCAGGGAAAGTGTTATTATTGGAATTCACAGGAAAAGAAGGAACATTATTTCCCAATTCCTTTTGTGAACTTTCATACGCTTTCGGCTGATTATTACATAGTTGTGAATAAAAGAACTTTGAGGTAGAAGAACTAGAGCTTCCTGGTGAAAAATCCATAGAAAAATTTCTTATTATCCTAAGGCATGTGTTTTTTTGACCATCTTATAAAAAATATATATGATAACGTGATTTGATTAAGCCATATTTTTGGGGACGAAAATATGATTTTCCGGATTTTCATAAATTTGAACCGTGTGTAAATTGAATGCAGCTTAAAGGGTCGCGCAATTTTATATAAATTGACAGTGAATTACCCCGAACTAAATTTTTTTTTTTTTTCTGCTCAAAAAATGTCTCAAGAGCAAAGTAAAAGAATAGCAATAATTGGAAGTGGATGCGCTGGATTGGGAGCGGCATGGTTGTTATCGGAACATTCTCCGCATAATGTTACTATTTATGAGCAAAATGATTATTTGGGAGGACATACTCATACGGTTGATTTTACAGTTCCTTCTACAAAGTCCTCTAATTCTCCGCTTACAACGCCGGTCGACACCGGATTCATTGTATTTAATCATGTTACGTATCCAAACCTTATTAAGTTTCTTCAACATAAAAATGTTGAATACATAGGTTCTGACATGGGTTTTAGCGTATCAAGAAACAAAGGAGAATTTGAATGGGCGGGAAAAAATATATTTACAGTCTTTGGGCAACCAGAGAATTTATTGAATTTGAATATGTGGAAAACTGTTTTTGATATTATGAAATTTAATTTTCACGCAACTGATTTATTAGAATTGGAAGATGATCATCCCGAAAAAAAAATGAAACTGGGAGAATATTTGGATTTACATGGATACTCTTCAGCATTTAGGGATAATTATCTTTTGGTAATGTAATTTATGTAACTATTAATTTATGTTTGATGAAGATTCTAATTTAACAAACACGTGATTAATTAGCCGATGACTGCGGCGATTTGGTCTACTCCGCCGGACAAGTGTGCGCTTGACTTTCCCGCATTGACGTTAATACAATTTATGCATAATCATTTTTTCCTCCAAGTAATGAATCGCGTTCAATGGCTTACTATAAAAAATGGAAGGTTAGAAATTTGAAAACGTGCACAAATCGCGTTCATTATTAATTTAAATTGATTATTATTTATTTATTTATTTTTAGTCGCAAATATGTGGAAACGATCGTTCCACATATTCATAGTGTACGACTTTCAACAAAAGTAACATCAATCACACGTAAATCATCAAATCCTTCGGATCCTTCTTCACCACCAATCATTATTATTACAGATAGCAATGGGGGACGCGAAGAGTTCGATCATGTAATTTTCGCCACTCATGCTGATCAAGCTATACAAATTTTGGGTGACCAAGCTACCGATGACGAAAAGCGTATTTTGGGAAAAGTTCGTTTTAATAAAAATCGCGCCGTGTTACACTCCGATCTTTCGGTAAGAGAAATTAAATTTAATTGATTTTTATTTTTATTTTTTATTCTTTTTTTTTTTTATTATTTTAAATTGATAAAATTATAATTGTACGAATAGTTAATGCCAAAGCGCCGTTTCGCGTTCTCTGCTTGGAACTATATTACCAAATCTACTGAAAATTCTCTTAACACTGATCAAGTTTCTTTGTAAGATTTATCGTTATTTTGTATAAAGTTTATTATGTTAATGGAAAATTATAATTGAAATAAAAAAAAACTATATATATTTTTTTTATAGGACTTATGACATGAACATTTTACAATCAATCGATGAATCAGTTTATGGGCCGGTTCTTGTAACTTTGAACCCTCTTTACGAACCCGATCCATCAAAAGTCGTAGGTTCGTGGTCATATGACCATCCGTTATACACACCAGAAACAATTGCAGCACAAGCTGAATTGCGTACTATCCAAAATCTTCCAAATCTTGCTACAACATTTGCAGGAGCCTGGACAAAATATGGATTTCACGAAGATGGTTTTACTTCGGGTTTAAAGATTGCCAATGAATTTTTGGGTGCTTCATCACCATTTGGAATAATTGATGCCACTCATATTAGAGGAAGACAAGCTGAATTAAATTTAACTGAGAAAGTACAAAAAAGACTTTGGATTTGGTTTGAAATGTGGGTGGAAATGTTATGCGTTATATTAACTATAACGAAAGTTTATTACGAAATGGCCTACAAATGGACTAATCAAAAGAAGAAAGATTAACTTAATAAGTAATATATGACATGAACAAAAGATTTTCTTAAAACTAATTTATTTTATAATTGATACTGTTAAATTATAAAAGATATAGTCACATCTTTTCTTTGATAAATTTTTTTATTTTATTTTATTCTGTAAGAGTGAAATCCGGACTAACTTTGTGTAGGAAAAATACTAGAGGTAATAAAAAGTGGTACTAAATACAAAGTAAGAATAACTAACTAAAGTAAGTGTTCTCCATGTAAGGGGACTTTCTTTGATAAATAGAGTTAATAAATTATACCCGATTTTCCATAAGAAACTCAATCACGTGTATGTATATCACGTGATTGCAATCATTTGATATACTTATTTTTTTTACTTTTTCAATGAATAAATAAATGAGAAACTCTTTCCGACGATCGTAAAATACCAAAAATTCACAGAAAAAATTTTCGTTAAAAAACATATTTCTTTATAGACAAGTACCACTTTTTTCACCAGTTTTGGTCTCTACGTTCTTCTCGGAACATTATCATATGAGTTTTAATATCGGAAAAAAATTTTCAAAAAAATTCCTTAAAAATATAGAAAAATCTCATCGTTCGGTGACTAACGAAGAAGACATATACTTTACATATTCTTCACCAAATACAGTTAAAAATATGTCTAACAGTAAACCCAATAATAACACTGTAACCAGTATCGATAAAGTATCTACGGACTGTCCTATGGAAGAAGTAATAGCTACCTCTTCAACTCATGACCTTTCTCACAGCGAAATTGAACTCACATCACGTGACTCAATAAAAAATGATACTCACAAGCAAACACCAATCAAAGATAAATTGACTAATATGGAAGAAGATCCCTCAGAACCTAACCCAGATAAAGGAAAATCACCGGAATCACAAACAGCCACACAAACAAACTTGCCAAATGCGATTCCAATGACCGTGCTAACTGATATTTTTACACAAACATCACAAGCTTCTAACAAAGCACACAAAGGATTTATTCCCAGAGATAGTTTTAAACCTGAACTCTCTAACAACGAAATCATTAACTTACTAAAAACGGCATTTATCCGTGACAGTAACGCCTTTAAATTTGAATCTAATACAACTTCCACATACAAATATTTCACTATATACTTTAGAACACGTGACTCGCTTAACTACTACATAGAAAAGAGTCCCAACAACCTTAAACAAGTTAAAATATACGAATTAACCAATGAAGCTATCAACACATTACTGGATAAAAAATTCGCTGATTTGGACTCAGCAGTCATAAAAATCATGGACATACCTTATAATTACGACACAACAATGCTTATCAAACACCTCGCTATTAAAACCGGCAGCAACATCATAGACCAAAAAGAGCTCAAAAAGCCACAAAGAAAATTACCTAACCGCAACAATCGCGGACGCCCAATTTTCATCAAACCTGCATACAAACAACTAATCGTACGCTTCGATAAACAATCTGCCTATGACTATTTCATGAAAGAAAACTATTGGAGCCTAGAAATAGAAAATTTCGTAGTAAGAATTTTACCAGGCAATCAAAACGATCCCGAATTTCAAAAACGCACCAGTAAATATTTTAAAATTACTGGACTACCGCTTAACACCACTGCTACGGATCTTGATCCACTTATCAAACACATTTATGGACGTACTTGTACGTTTACACAAACTACTCGATACTCAACCATGAAAAATGCCTACATATACGTTTCACCAGAGAATTATCCTGATAACGCAACGGGAGGAGCATCATCACAATTAGCTAACCACACCATCTTCATCATCCCAGGGCACATATCAGCCAAAACATGCAACACTTGTGGATCACCGTTACACATTTCTCAAAACTGTGACGATAAGAACTTCAAAACAACAAGTGACAACCGTAAACTCTATAACAAAAGATTCATTGATAGAAAAGAAGAAAAAATCACAATCCACGAAAACACCAGAAATAGATACAACCACGTGATTTCCCTTAACTCCAACAAAAATTCAAATTCATCTCAAACAAATAACAAACGCTCATCACCACAAACAGATAACCGCTATAAAAAACTACAACCTAATAATTTACAATACCCCCGTCAAACAAGACACCCGTACAACAAAACACACAACATAAATGATATTAACAACTGGGACGAACCCTCCATGTCTACCCCCATAACCTGCATCAAAAATACGTCAAATGATGAGACAGACAAAAGAATTACGGAACTTGAAAAACAAGTCCAAAGTCTCCTAAAAAATATTAAATCTTTACAAGAAAGTAAAATTACAACGGATAAATCGATCGCGGACATCCATCACAACACTAACCTAATGAACACATCACTCACGAAAGTGAACATACGACTAGACAAATACGACACAATCATTGAACATCTCACCACTAACATCAATTTACTTAGCAAGAAAGAAATTTCATCCACCCAAGAACGTCCTCGCAAAATATCCAAAAAAGCTACACCATATGATCAAACTTCATATAGATCAACCAAATCCAAATATAACCTTAGAAATAACAAAGAATACAACAATTCAGCCGATGATAGTGAATTCGTTCCGGCAACAGAAGATGACACTGACATCCCTGATGACAATGCTATGTCGGATGGTGCCGTCTTTGAAGGCATAATTGACAAAACACTAGACGAACCCGTGAAAAATGACACTTTCACCGTTAAATCTTATAACCCATTGAACCTCCTCCCGAGCTTCAACGCGACACGTTAATTGTTGAAAATAACTCCTCAACAAATATTTGGACTCACTTACGATTTCTCCCTTTTTTGATTTTAACGTTTAAATTGTTTTCTACACATTGTTTTTATTAAAATTATTTTTTTTTATGGAATACACCAATTTTACTAACATGGTTGGCGTCGAAAACCAACCTTCATTTCAAGTACCTATTAATTCTTTACCTTCTTCTTCAAAAAATATAGAAAAAACACAAAAAAATTCAAATAATCAAAATACCAAAAACAGATATAACAATAACAATAACAACGACAACAGTCACCACAGCTCAGGATCTACATCATATACTCCTGATGTAAACGACGTACCTAACGAAGAACATATTACTAATTTACACGTCGTTAACACCGATAATAATTATTTTATAGATTACCTCAAAATTGGAACCATCAATATTCAAGGGGGCTACAAAACCAAATTAATTGATATTATCAATTATTTTGATACACATAACTTTAACATCCTCAACCTAACAGAAACACAATATTGCCACAAACATGAAAATAACAAATTAGTCGAAAGACATCCTCATCCGACTAATAAAAATTTATCTATTTACATAATTTTAGACGCTAATGGAGATAACAGGGGCTCTGGCGTAGGTATAATGCTTACTAGTACCTGATACCAACACGTCCATCAAATTCGTTTTCACAAAGGTCGCGTCTTAAATATCGAATTGGGCTTTAAACGTGACTATAAATTGAACATTACATGCCTTTATCTACCTGCGGGAAGAGACAAACATACCAATATTATTAAAAAAGAGTGCAACCAATTCATTGACCAACTATTTAGAACACAAAATACTAATGACGATAATCACAAATTTTACAACCTTATTATGGGGGATCTCAATTGCTACCCAAAAGAAAAAAATAATCTTAATCACCATATAATTCAGATGGCAAAATTAAAAGGCTTCAAAGACATGGCAAAATTCCATGCAGAAAACCAAACTCCAGATATAACTAGAACCACACACAGAATAGATTATATATTTGGCAATAATAACATTTTAAACGCATCAATTCATACTTTTGCACAAAAAATCCCACCATCACATTTCACTAGCGATCATAAAGCAGTGATTACTTTATTACAAAACGACCTTTTCAAACGCTCTCGACATCATCAAGGTAACAGACGAAATGAGCAAAAAGAGAAACCAAACTATTCACTAATGAATGATGATTTATGGGAAAATTACAAATCTCATTCGAAAACATATTTTAAACATCGTTTTCAATACATCGATTTAGATAATATTTCGACACAAGATGAATTGGACCATATTTGGAATATATTTGAACATAGTTTACATAACATCAAAAAGTCAACTATTCCTCAAAAGAAAATAACACCCCAAGAACACCATCATTTATACCCTTTACACATTCGCCAATTAAACCGACACGTGATTACTTTATATAAAACGAAACAATTCCTAAATTTAAAACACATTTATATCAGGAATAAAATAGAAATACCAACAGACAAATCTTTGCTTGTCTCATCTATTCCCGACTCAATGTGGACTTCATATTTTAAAAACTGGAAAGTTCATCGTGATCATATACAAAAAATAGCACACTCAATGGATCACGATATAATATTAAATAATTTTATCACACAAGAAGATTTCTTTGCACAGAGAACAGAAATCTACAAATTATATAACCATTTAAAACTAAAAAGAAATGATGAATTATCACAATGGAAAACTGAACGTATTGATTATTTTATTAATCAAAGAAATTTTGATTTATCAACTAATCAAACAAAAATGATTAATTCAATACTTCAAAGAAAACCTAGAAAAATTACATTGGATCGATTAATTTTCAAAGATAATAATAATGATACCATATTTACTAATAATCCACAAATTATACAAAAAGAAGCTATTAAACATTATCAAAATATAGGTAAACATGATAATCAATCGACGTACCGCTCTATTGACGATTTACCTCTACCGTGGCGTACGATATATGATCCGGCCAACCACCATTCCAATAGTGATTGTTGGGATACGCTTCAACAACAAATTGATATTTCCGATGTATTAGCCATCTTAAAAAATTCTCCTACGAATAAAGCACCTGGTCCTTCTCAAATTACTTATGAAGACTTGAAGCACCTATATAAAGATGTCTTGATATTACTTACCCAGATCTTCAACTTATGTATCCATTTAGATACGATACCCACAAAATGGTGTGATGCTCTGCTATTCCCAATACCGAAACCACATGACTGGGATAGTAAACTTACGAATACAAGACCTATCACCCTTTTGGAAACGACGAGAAAATTGATGGTCTCCGTTTTCTCTCAAAGATTAAATCAATCATTAGCGAAATACAACATCTTACAATTCAACAATCGTGCGGGTGTTTTGGGACAATCTTGTTTAGAACCACTGTTCCAAATACAGCATTCGATCGAACACGCACGTATTTATAAGAAACCACTATGGATTGCCATACAAGATTTATCAAAGGCTTATGATAGAGTCGATATTACATTATTACGATTAGCTCTGCAACGTATTAAAATTCCGGAAAAGATAATTACTTTTTTCATTAATTTATTTTCTAACCGATATAACTCCATCATCCTACCTAATGGAAACCTAGCATCATATAAGGTCCTACAGGGTATAGACCAAGGCGAAGTTGTTTCACCGCTTTTATGGAACATATATTACGACCCCCTGTTTTATCACATTAATCAACAATCACATCTTGCTTACAAATGTGATACTACGAAAATTAAAAATATTTATCACAAAGACTCTGACATTATTCATAATTTTGAATTATCTTTGGTCAGATACCTCGATGACACCACCTGGTTTAGTCCTTCTCTAGAAATACTCGAAACTAAATTAGATATCGCACACTCATTTTATGAATTAGCAAAAATTAAAGTGAACATCGACAAATACAAAATCCTCACCAACCAACGATTAGGTAATGATAGAAAAACTGTACAACTCACCATCAATGGACAAAACACAGATGTTAACATTGTTTCTAAATATAAAGGCACAAGAATCTTAGGATTATATATCAACCCTTTAGATAGACACCAACAAACATTACTCAAAGCGCGCTCGATCATCATGAACCACGTGATCACAATGCGCCACAAAAAAATTGCACATTCTCACGCAATCTATATTATTAACAAAGTCATCTTCCCTAAGTTGGAGTATCTCTTCCAGCACACCATCCTAAATTATGCCCAAGTACAGAAATTAGTTGTACCTATTAAAAAATTATTCAAAAAATTTTTTTCTTTACCACTTAATACGGCAGACAATATCATTTATAATAACATGTATCCACATATTGATAATTTGATGGATTTACTAGTCAAATCACAATTAAATGCACTATCGGCTCTATTCAATACTGATATCCTAAGACCTATAGCGATCCAAAAATTGGATATATTAACTCACGAAATTTGGTATCCAGGTATACCTCGCGACATCAATAAATACATTGGAAAAATTTCCTCACCGAGTTATTTATCAAAGAGTCTAGCTTTACTAGAACAATATCAAATTCATTTGGACCCTACTATCAGTTATGGCATCACAGGAGGACATATACCAATAGTGGAATATCTTCCAAACTTATCTTCTAATGATTAAAAATCTTTACGAAACAAAAGGATCATGTACCTCAATCAACTTGTGTCCACAGATGGTAATTACCTTCTGACCTGGAACGAAGTGAAACGTCTAAATAACAACAATTTTAAAGGACCTAAACCTAAATGGTTTAAACTATTAGAAAATGATTTCACCCTAAGTAATTATCGTACTTTAACACACCCGCTTAACGATAATTACACAATTCCAGCACGCTTACAACAAATCCCTGATCAATCCCTGGGTAATCACAAAAAACGTAATGAATGGACATATCATTGGGACGCTAGAATACAAAATTGTATTATTGGAAAAACATATATACAAGATACTGACACGTGTAATTCTATTACTACCATGGAACACTATTTACCTTTTAATAATGCTTCAATATTAAATAATGTTACCCCGCAATCACCACGCTCTTTACCTTTAATTTTAATTCCTTGTTCAGGTTGCCATCTTAATGACCACAGTTTAATTCTACAAGACGCTCGTATTAAATGTTCAATTTCTATTCGTACGAATCGTCTTTCAACCTTTAACATTTTTAACCGTTTAAATCAAGAACATAAAAGATTCAAAAATCTTCCCCTATCTAAATATTATGTCAGCACCAAACCCTTATATCAAATTAGACATAGCGCACACAGCATTTATTTAGCTCAACATAATGTCAACACAGTAACTACCACTATTATAACACCAGAACTACCATCTTTGCACAACCAAAATCATGTTCTTCAACAATTGTCGTCAGTAATAGACTTTGCCCTGTTATGTGACGACAAAATTAAATTAACTTTAATAGACATAGCTTCAAAATTTCTTTCTCATACTAACTTTCAATTTTATTCAGATGGTTCTGTTTCAGATATAGGTACAATTAACAGTAAATCCGGATTCGGTTGGGTACAAACGAATCCCTTCTACCACAAATTTCATTTTTGGGTTCTACAATTTTTTTTCCTTCTTCTTTTAAAAGCGAAAGCTTTGCTATTTTGACAATTTTACTAGTTTTACCTCCCAACGCCACATGTGAAATATTTACCGACTCACAAAATTGTATAGATACTTTTAATCAACGTTTAGGCTCACCTATCATAAGTCTACGACGCAGGCTTAAACAAAACAACTTTTTAATATGGGACCTTATAATGTGGTTAATATCACAACACTCCCTTATTATCCAACTGAGAAAAGTTAAAGGACATAGTAACGATAAGGCTAATGATCAAGCAGATGCCCTGGCTAAACGAGGCAGATATTCGCCCGACCCTATCATCATCAATCACAAATTTTTTTTCCGAACTTCCCTAGCGCTGTTCAATTACAACCATATCAACGTAATTGATCGAAATTTACGCAAGTGGAGCAATATACCTATCCAGTCTAGAATTTTTAACATGGCTATGAATAACAGTTCACTGTCACCTATTAATTATCAAATCACATATGGCGACATTGACTGGACTTACACCAAACAATGGATCAATTCTAATCCTTTTGACATGCCCACGTCGTCTAAATTATCATCTATTCAATCGAACAAATTGAAGAAATCTACTTTTACATATCCAACAGGCAATATTTTACAACGCAATTATCCTAATCTTTATCCTTTCGGGCGTATTAATTGCACGGAATGTTCGATAGACGAAGACACCAACGCACATATTGGCTTATGTCCATCTCATCGTCAATCCATAACATCACTCCTTACAAAATTCAAAAAAAAACTGATCAATCTTATCAGAAAAGAACGCACTAGCAATATATCTTTTGATATCGAATCAAGGATTAATAATTCTAATATGTTCAAAGTTTTTCCAGACATCTTAGACGCTGCTCGTCTACCTGATTCTTCAGATCAAATACGTATTCCACGAGAACAACCATGGATTTTACTATTACATCATCTTATCCCACGAGACTTAGCTGTATTTTTTGATAACTACTTCAGCAATGCGGCGGATAGGTCGCGTTTCCTGCTAGAGTATGTTTCCGCTTTTACCTCGGAATTGAGAACTATTACCTGGTCACCACGTTCCCGCTCATTTAAAAAGTGGGAAAAAAGTTTAGATATTACTTTAAAGAAAAAGAAAAATTATCGCAAACACACGACTACTGCTTCCGGTCGGGCGTCTTCATCGACCACTGCTTTATCTTCTACCGTTGCCCGTAAGCGACGAAGTCAATATACTCGTTACTATCACAACAAAGTGTTACCTTACTTCAAACAAACAGTCAATTTTGATGTGTCCGCGTGTATACGTTGGACGACCTGTAATTTTTTACATAGTGGTTCATGGGAATCTTATAGAGATAATCTCTTATTTAATTTAGATAATTTCTCCCCGGTACAATCCTTTTTAGATTCACTTAGACCGCGTAATACTTAGTTCAAAAGCCTTTACTTTGGTTATTAGGGATGTGATGTCGTGTTAGGGACTCCCCCGGATTCGTCAAAAGTACCAGAGTGGCGCTGTCCTCGGGCGGTTTGATTATAGCTTAGTATCAGATAGCGTTCGACATTTGTTTTATCTTTTGTTCTTGTCTATCTTTCTGTAATC